AGGGGTCCACATACTAGAGCACAACTAACAAATTCCCAAAGGTAAGCTAGCCCACAACTTTTGACACGTATAAAGATAAAGAAAACCCTCTTCTGTCAGTGCAGCTGTTAGAGACTTAAAGCTAAATTAGAGTACCTGTGTATGCTTGCTTGTCCACCAGTGAAATCTGCTGTAGCTTGCCACAAGGTGTGCTTCCTAGGTTGTGGATTAGTCTCTCGAAAGAAAAGGGGTTGTCTTGCCAGCTGCAGTAAAAAAGAAATACCCTCTAACATCACCTCCAGCATCAGAAGATAGACAGTTTACAACAAGATAACAATAAACGCCAACAATTATTAGAGAATATTCATCTGTTTCTTTCTTCCTTGTTACTTTTTCTTCACTTCAATATCTTTGTTGATCAGAAGATGCATTTTTCAATATAAGCATATAAAAATGCAACCAGAATGATAATTAGCTAATGTAGGCAAAAAAACAACTTGTTGAGGCAGAAGTGATACCACGACATCTAAGGTCCCCGGTCCATCATCTGCATAGTTTGCCTTAATAGCTACAATATCCGACCATTGAATTTCAATCTTATTTTTGAGCTCACCATCAAGCACTTCCCACACGAGCTTGTGCTTTGCAAAGTAGCATTTTGCCACTAAATCCCCTTCATACCTCGATTTATACTACAATCCAAGAAAACCACCTCAGTTTACCCAGATTGAAGAAAAGCAAGTACATTACACAGTCAATAAAAGTTAAAACTGAATCCAAAGAATAATATACCTCCCAAGAACCAATTTTCAACAGTGAAGCAGGGAAATTGGAAGCCTTGAGCTTATCTGGGTTACTTGAAACCCCATTTCCCTTCCCACCCTTCCTCTTAAATGTACTAGCATTTTCTTGGGAAAGTCTCATTTGGATCAAATCCAAGAAAGATGGACTCTTTTTCAGGCTTAAGCCTAGCGGACTCGGCTCATCAAGTGGGTTATAGAGTGAAGGTGGAATTGGATTTGGAAGAGCTTCATCAAGATTGCCCTCCTGCTAACAAGAAAAAAAAAATTACGATCAAATAAAATTCCAGAAAAGGAAAGGAATTTAATTGCCCAAAAAAATTAACAAAAAAACTCTCCCAAACTAAAACCCATAAACAGAAACAAATTCAACTATGACATATCATTAAAAGGGTCTACATAGAACCGAAAATTATTGTACTTTATGAAAAAAACCTGTACCTGTGAAGTATGATCAAGTGTGGACCTTTTGTGAAGCGGAGCGAATTCAAGAAGGGAGTCATCCTCATCCAGTTCTGACTTCAGCGCCGCCCTCTTCCCCGAGTTCATCATCTGATTGTGAACCATTTGTGCGTGTGTGTGAGCGTTTTCTTTTTTTTTTTTCTCTTTTTTTGGAAATTGAGATTTTTTTTCGCTCCGAGATCACAGCGATCGAACAGAACAAGCGAGCTCCTTTCAAAAAGACTAGGTCACAGAGTTGGTGGCAAACACAAAATTCACGCTGTGAGTGGTGGGCGGCGGCACGTGCGTTCACACGTGGCAAAAGAATCGCTACGTGTTTATTTCTTAACAGAACAGAACTTTGACTAGACCGTGGATATTAAATGACGAAAACAACCCCGAACCTAACGTGGACTTTATATATTAAAGGGGGTGATAGTTTCGTCATTTCAGTGAGAAAGAAGAGAGATAACGACGTCAGCAATCTTGGAGTTTTGTGTCAGGTGACGTGAGAGGGATATGGATAAAATGTGGGGTCCAGTTCGTGAAGTTTCGACTTTGTGGGAAAGGCAAATGGATGGATGGGATGGGAAGAAGAGAGGTGGGAGAATATGGAGTTGGAGGGGACACGTAGGATTGAGAGAAAATTGGATTCCTTCAGCTATAGGCATTGGTTTCGTTTTGGATAAGGTTTAGGGGTTTGGAAGTTTGTATACAATTTTTTTTGTGGATAAGGTCTTCAAATTGGATTTGTCCTCTTTGAGTTGACTGTAAAAACTTACTCTCAAAGCTAAAGCCTCCTTTTTCTTTTTGTAATGCTTCTTTTTAATGATTCTGATTGGTTTTAGATAAGCTGTTAATTTGAATATGGTTATCAGTTATTACTTTCTTGGCTATTAGTGGTTGAGTAAAGCGTGTCTTGTAACCTGTGATTGAAAATTTAAATTAGAGATTGTAAGATTAATTCAAACCTTAAAATGATTTGTTTATATTATTAGGTTTACATTATTAATTTAGGAAATAATGTCAATAGTTTGAAGAATATGTGAAAGGTAAGATTATTTTAATATTACAAATATCAAAATGTCTAATCAAAATTATATAATAAGTAAAATATAATATAAACTCCATTTAAATTATTGTTATAATTAAATGTTTTACTATTTTTAATTTTTTTTATATTGATTGCATAACGAAATATAATTCTCTCTTATTTTTTATTTTACCTCACTCGCATATCATATGATTTGAAATCATGACATCTTATTTCCAACGAAAAAAAATTACCATTAAATTATTTAAGTCGTTGGCTACTATTTTTAATATTGGAACATTTTAATTTTTAGTTTTATATAATTTAAATTCTAACTATATTAGTAGTTGCCTTAAGTAATGTCATTTCCTTCACTTATCTTTGGCTTGAGGGAAATGGAGGAGAGAGAAAGAAAGGGAGAAAATTATAGGGTCCTCAATTTAATTCATAAGGATGTAGTAAATTAAAAGGACGAGAGACATTATCTTTTATTGTGTAATTTAATATAAAAAAATACTTATTTTTTTAAAAAATACTTATTTTTTTAAAAAATAATATAAAAAATTAAATAATTAATTAACTTTACATGTTAAAAAAAGGGGCTTTGGGCTTGGCTCGTGAAGCCCCGTGTTTAGGCGCTCAAGAAAAAGCTCAGGCCCATGTTTAGATGCCCAAAAGGTTGGAGTTCATTTTCTTAGGACCACGGATTCGTAATTTTGTACCGTTAACTTTACTTGAGCCCAAGGAAGGGATCGGATTAGTTGGGCTTCTCTCTTAACACTCAAGGACACAACTCACACAAGGTACGACGCAGTCCCCCACAGAACAGATTCTGTTCCGAGTAAGGTATAGTCTTAGTTCGGCTCGTCTTAGGAATTATGCAAAGCCACAAATTTTACAAATCTAAGAGCACAGACCCATTTTTGGTGCATATGCATATCTCTCTTTTTATTTTTTGAACAACGACAATTTTGAAAAAAAAAAAAAAGGAATTGAACCCAACTCATGAATTGAGAGATGCATTTTTTTACCAAACGGCTTAAAAGACTAGCCACAGTGCATATGCATATCTCATACCATAAAAGGTTGCCACTCAACCATCCAAGAAGAGGTTATTTATTGCTTTCAAAATCTCCCTTGGCCATGCCAATGCTCTTTTCTTACCACAAGTATCAACACCAACGCACACGGCACACCTTTAAGAGAAATTTTATTGTGTTAGGGAGATAAGTATTTCAACAATAAGAAAATAATAAATCACAAACCTCAAGATCTTAATTTGAGTTGTTATGTTGAGGTGTAAAACCTCTACGAAGGTGTGAAACTAAGATGTCATTGATTTCTTAATATGACATGTTAAGATTTCTAAAAATTTCTGAAGTATCAAATTATATTGACTACAAATACCACATGACAAGTACTCCTATTACACAATAGAATGTTTCCATTGAGCTTTGGGCCTTTTGAAGAAGCACCGACAGGTTTTGCGTCTAAGATGCTCTGAGCTGGTACAACTGTACAAGGAGTCAGGGACGAAGCCAGGGGGTTGCAAGAGGGGGCACTCGCCCCCCCCTAGACTTTTGAAAAAAAATTAAATAGGTCCTATACTTTTAAAAAAACAAATAAATCATTTTTGAAAAAAATAAAATGATATATTCTAACTTTTATTCTTTTATAGATCTTGTGATAAATTGCACACACTTAACTAGTAAAATAAATTTAATAAAATATTTTATTTATTTAACATATTTATCATTGTAATATATCCATAGTTAATGATTATTTGTATCAAATAATAAAATAAAATTGACTTGAAATTGGTATTATCAACTTTTTGGAACATTTAGTTTTTCTATCTAAATGATATTAAGTAATATTTTGTGATAAAAGTTATATTTCAAATTGAAATTTAAATACATATAAATTTCAACACGTTTTTCTACATTTAATATCTTTAAAATTTTTAGTTTTTGTGCATTTAAATTTTAATTTTATTCATAAATTACAAGTCAAAAAATTCATTTTTAACATATGCATTTCAAATAGTACTATACCCCCCTAAGATTTTTTTTTTTGGCTCCATACCTGCAAGGAGTCATTGGGTGGGACTAGAATGTCTCTGTAAGTGCGAGTGTAGAGGCGAAAAAAAAAAGGTGAGTTTTGATGTATAACAAAATGTAAAACTTGAAAATTAAATTCTAATAGAAAATAAGTACTTTTAGCTAAACTAAATTCTTATTAATTGAACTCCACCAAGCGCCTGATGGCCGCGCGCCTCATTGAGACTGATGGGTTGTTCACCAGATTTGGGAACCGAATTCTCAGTTGCTAACATCTAACAATATTAACTTACTAACAATTGTCTTTATAAAAAAAATAATAAATAAATAAATTCTCATTAATTATTTACGGTTAACTTTTTGAGTTGATGGAGTCCTTTTATTATTTCGTTAATTTCCTACCAAATTTTTTTTCAATTTCTTCTTATAATAGACAATCGTATTTTCTTATTCTTTATGTATTACTCTATTAGGAAAAGAGAAAATTAAAACATCTTTAAATGTGATATAACTTACACTATATTTTATATATTTAATAACTGTAATTAATTGTTTAAACATTTTTAATATCAGAATTTCTTGATTTTTCCTTTTCTCTTGCTTTATTATGCATCTTGCAAACTATTCACTTTTGCTTGCTAGTGTATGTGCCATAATTTCATAGAAGGCTAAGTCCAAGTTGGGCCTGCATTTTATAGTATAAACAATTATTTCAATAATCAGACAAGATATATCAACCATCAAGCTAAAAATATCTTATTAATTTTTGTGACAATTTGCTATCCAAATATCATGTATATGAAGATAGGTAGTTTGAAGAGGAAAATATGATAACATGAGAGACAAATAGAGAACATAACTCAACAAGATATGATTGCTTTTGGTCTTAGCGGTACAGGAAAAAGTAACCAATAATACAATGTATAATAAGTGCCATTTTTGAACAACTTCCACTTTAGCTAAGGAGGGACAACATCAAACATACAATATGCCTCACAAAGTCTAACTTCCTTATCTTTAGCATAACCCACAATCACGAGTTGCTCTTCTTCCCCACCAATCACCTCCACTCCCCTCCCCATTTTCCCCCCCTTTTTTCCCTCCAAGTTTGTTCACGTGAATCCCCAATAATTTCTCATGCACTGGTGGGTCCTTCGGCCACCCTTTCCTTTTTTGTTCTCTTCCCTAACTCCACCTCCAGGGAATCCCCATTCTTCTCTCTATTTCAGTAGTTCTTTCCTTTTCCTTTCCTTCTTCAGTGTCCTCAGCAATGGCGAAAGCAATGCTCCTGTTGCCGCCATTGCTATTCGTTGCTGTTCTTACCTTCAGTGAAGGGGTTAGTTTTAAGACGGTCCTCAGGCTGCAACAGTTTCACTGGGAAGAGAAATGGGATGTCTCAAGATGTCTTTCTCCGAAATCAAGTGAGTCTTACCAGAGAGAAGAAAAAACTGGTTCTCTTTACCTTTATTTTGTTCTTCTGTTTTGGGATCTTTAATATATAATTGCTTTCATACTTTGTCGGAAACATCCATCATTTTCCCCTTTTTCCTTTTGTTCGGGAGACTAGCTCATCTTTACTCAATTCGAACACCTTTTTCCTTTTGTTCATGAGACTAGATCATCTTTACTCAATTCGAACAACTGTTGTTCGTACTAACATTTTTTTGTCAGTCTGGATTGAAAAAAACATTTCTCCATGTATTGTGTGTTTGCATGCAGAATAGTAGCATTTAGAATATATATGATGATCTTAATTCCGACAATTCATTTTGTTTCGATATCTAGGAAGGGAGAATGGGGCAGCTATATTGGAAATTAAGCACAGAGACAACTGCCAGGGAGAGCCTGTAGACTGGAACAAGAAGTTGCAAGAACGCTTAATTCTGGACGATCAGCGTGTTCGGTCATTTCAATCCCGGGTGAAGAACATGGTTTCCGGGAACATAAAAGCAGTTTCCAACACTGAGATCCCTTTAACTTCCGGAGTGGACCTCGGTATTCTGAACTATATTGTTTCAGTGGAGCTAGGGGGTCAAAAGATGACAGTGATCGTTGATACTGGAAGCGACTTGACATGGGTTCAATGCCAGCCATGCAAAATGTGTTACAACCAGAGAGATCCTCTCTTCAACCCTGCAACATCATCTTCGTATCAGACTGTCTTGTGCAATTCATCGACTTGTCAGGATTTCCAGGTTGTTATGGGGAACAGAGGAGCATGCGGCAGCACCCCAACATGTGACTATGTTGTCAGCTATGGGGATGGATCCTACACTCGCGGCGAGCTTGGCCGGGGACATCTCAACCTTGGCAATGGCTCCCAGGTAGGTGTGGACAATTTTGTATTCGGCTGCGGCAGGAACGATAGGGGTCTCTTTGGTGGAGCTTCAGGTCTTATGGGTCTTGGAAGGAGTTCCATCTCTTTGGTTTCTCAAACTGCTGCATTATTTGGAGGTTTCTTTTCCTATTGTCTGCCTGCAACAGACAATGGGGCTTCAGGTTCATTGATTTTGGGTAGAAACTCCTCTGTTTACAAGACTTCAACTCCAATTACTTACACCAGAATGATCCCAAATCCACAGCTTTCCACATTCTATTTCCTCAACCTTACCAGCATAACTGTCGGTGGGGTGGCTCTCCAAACTCCAAGCTTTGGAAATGCTGCGATGCTAATAGATTCTGGAACAGTAATTACAAGGCTGCCGCCAACAATCTACAAGGCGTTCAAGGCAGAATTTCTGAAACAATTTTCTGAGTATCCTACTGCTCCAAGTTTCTCAATCTTGGATACTTGCTTTAACCTCAGTACATACCAAGAAGTGGACATTCCTACAATTAAACTGCAATTTGAAGGTAAAGCTGAGATGACCGTGGATGTGAATGGAATCCTTTACTTTGTAAAGACTGACGCTTCCCAGGTTTGTTTGGCTCTATCAAGTCTTTCGTATGAGGATGAGGTTGGGATCGTTGGCAATTATCAGCAAAGAAACCAAAGGGTCATATACGACACTAAGAAGTCTAAGTTGGGGTTTGCCCCTGAAAGTTGCAGTTTCACATAAGCAAGGGGAACTGTAAGGCTTTTCAGGATATATACCACTTCAAAGCGAAGTCAAATTATCTATTGGCAATGATATCTACAGCTAGTAGTTTTCCTCTATTCATATCATAATAACTACCGATAACTGCACTCTGGCAGAGGTGTGCTTAA